AACAACAACAACAGGGCCTCTATGAGTTAGAATTGACTTATTGGCAGTGTGTTTGGGTTTGATACACTGAAATCACCCAAATTTAGCACCCACCCTAAACTTTTGTTTTTTGTTTTTAAGTGCCACCGAGTCAGTTCTAACTCATAGATACCCTGTATACAGTTTCCAAGGAGCAACTGGTGAGCTTGAACCACTGACCTTATAGTTCAAATTGACCTTGCATTCCAGTGCATTAATCCACAGTTCCACACCAGGACCACCCTAAACTGCAGGTCCATATATCTCCATATATCTGGTTGGTGCTGTAGGATAAGCACTGGACTGCAACCTGCAAGATCAGTGGTTCAAACCCACCAGCCGCTCCTTGGAAATCCTGTGCAGGATTGTTATGAGTCAGAACCGACTCAGTAGCACTTCACAACACGCCTCTACCAGTTCCCAGTTGCTGTTAAGTCAACCTCATATGTGTCAAAGTAGAACTGTGCTCCCTAGGGTTTTTGATGACTGATTTTTTGGAAGTGGATTGCCAGGCATTTCTGACAAGGTACCTCTAGATAGACAGGAACCTCAACCTTTTAATTAGCAACCAAGGGTTTTAACTGTTTACATTACCCAGACATTTCCACAGGCACCTCAAAATCACAGGGCCCCAAACTGACTTCCTGGTCAACTCCAACCCTATCCTTTTCATATCTTCTCTATCTTTTTGTTGTTGTTAAGTGCCATTGAGTCGGTTCTGACCCATAGCAACCCTGTATAGGGTTTCCAAGGAGCATCTGGTAAGCTTGAACTGCTGACTTTGCAGTTCAAATGGCTTTGCAGTCTGGCGCATTAACCCACATGACAATTTCATTCTTCCAGGAGTTCAAATCCCAAACCTTGACATCATCCTCAAGACTTCTTTCTATCCCACCTACATCCAATTGATCAGCGAATTCTCTGTGTTCCATCTCAAATGCTCCCCATAGCATCTTTCTTCCTATTACTCTTATCTTAATTCTTCTAGAACCATCCTGATGACCGCCTCCCTCCAGGCTTGCCTCCTCCTCAGTCTATTTTCTACATCTCCTTTTCTCAGTATGAAATCCCGACTCTCAACATGGCTGGGCCCACCTACCTCTTTGACCCTCCTCCCCCCTCCCCGCCATCACACCCCTCACTCGGCTCCAGTCACACTGGTCTCCTCTTGTGTTTCCAACAACCTTAGTTTGTTTCTGACTTTGCTAGGAAGTAGTCTTACCCAGATCTTCTCCCGGCTGACCCATTCTCAGCTCAGTGTCATTTAGAGACAGAAGTCTTTGCTGATCTTCCATCCAATGGAAAATGTAAATCTCTACCCATCCAGTCTCTAATACATCACCTGTTTCTTGCCACTACCGGAAATTACCTTATTTTGATATTTGTTATTTTGCTTCTTTGTGTGTTTCCCTCTCATTAGGACGTGAGCTTTTTGGGGGTGGGAACTGGATCTGTTTTGCTCAGTTGGGGTCCCCCAACACCTGATCCCATGCCAGGCACACAGTCTCTCTCACTCACTCACCCATGGAATTCAGGTGTGTTACTGCTGGATCACTGCTAACTGCAAGGTTGACAGTGCAGATCCACCAGCCACTCTGAGGGAGAAAGCTAAAGCTTTCTATTCTCAGAAAGACGTACAGTCTCGGAAACTACATACAAGGTGGCTAGGAGTCAGAATCAATTAGATGGCACACAGTGATAGTGGTGATGGTGTGCAGTGGAGTCGGTTCTGACTCAGAGCCACCCTTCATAGGGTTTCTGAGGCTGTAAGTCTTTATGGGAGCAGAAAGTCTCAACTTTCTCCCGCGGAGCAGCTGGTAGTTTCAAACTGCTGACCTTGAAGTTAAAAGCCCGATTCCTTAACTACTATGCTACCAGAGCTGCTTTGGCACAAAGTTGTTGTTGTTAAGTGCCGTCGAGTCGGTTCTGACCCATAGCAACCCTGAAGAGGGTTTCCGAGGCTGTAAATCTTTACAGGAGCAGAAAGCCTCATCTTTCTCCCGCGATGCAGTTTCGAACTGCTGACCTTGTAGTTCGCAGCCCCACAATAGGCATGCAAATTTCATTGACTGAATAAATGAATGGTGGCTGGTATGGAGAAAAGACTGGAAAGACTGAGACTGGAGGCAGGAAGTGCAGTGGGGAGTCTGGGTAGGAACCTGGCTGGAGATGGGAGTGGGGGAGGGGGTCAGTGAGGGAGCGCAAACCTGGCCTGTTCTGTTCTTCAGGTATGGCGTCTCTGACTTCCATTCCCGAATCACTGTCTGGACCACTTTTTCATCTCCCTGTAGGGAGAGGAGACTGGTCACCCCTCAGCTTGCCTTCCCGCACCCAAGCCCTGAGTCCCCTTCATCTGTCCCTACACACTCACCTGGAGCAGATTCACCAGCTGTTGTTGCAGCACCTTGGTCTCCTCACTGAGATGGTTGATGGTGTCCTGGTTCTTCTTGATGGTCCACTGGGAGCTCTCATAAAAGGTCTTCCGGTCACCCTCTAGGGCCAGGTGAAGTGGGCAGGCACAAGCAGAGAATTATTGTAGAACTGAAGGGAAGCTTCCCAGAGAGAAGACTTTTTTTTTAAAAATCTTTTAATATAAACAGGGTAAGGATTTACAGAGCAGGTTATCAATTTTAATTTCAACAAATCATACACTTAATTTCATCTCAATGATTGCAATCCCTTCGATGTAGTATCACTTATCCCACTTCCTTCCTGTGGTTCTTGTTTTTTCCCATGCCTCACTTTTTCCCCAACCTTTTTGAACTTTGCCTTGGGTAAATGCTGCCTTTTTTCCCCTTTAAATCTCAAATGGCTGACCATTCCATGATGTGCAAACCTCACAAGCAGTGTTGTCCTCCTGGCTGAAAACTGAACCACAGGTGTGAGTTCAGGTCTACACCTGAAGGATGAGTTCTAGTCTACACCTGAAGGATGATTTCAGGTCTACACCTGCAAAGGGTGATTTCAGTTCTACACCTGAAGGATGATTTCAGGGCTACACCTGAAGGATAAGTTCTAGTCTACACCTGAACGATGACCAAGGACCATGGTCTCAGGGTTCCACCAGCCTCTCTCCAACCTGTAAACCTGGTCTTTTTCCTTTTTTTATGATTTTTGTTCCCTATTTTCTCCCACTCTATCCAGAACCTTCTAATGTAAACCCTTTCATATAAGTCAGTATTGGTAGATGGGCACCATCTAGTTCTGGTCTCAGGGTCATGGAGACTGATGTTCATGTATGTGGTCCATTAGACTAGCTGTTTCCAAGCTTCTTCAATTTTCATCACTCTTCTTTCCTCCGGACAGGGAGAGACCAATAGTTAGTTGCACTTTGATAGCCACTTATGAGCTTTAAGATCCCAGTTGCTACTGTCTTTGTGGATTACATACCAATTGACCATGGTGTC